AAAGTTTGGGGCTTTGTTGTTGTTGTTTGTTTGTTGTGGGGCTTGGACTCAGGGCCTGGGTGCTGTCCCTGAGCTCTTTGGCTCAAGGCTAGCACTCTACAACTTGGAGCCACAACTCCACTTGATGTTTTTTGTTTGTTTGGTTGGTTGGTTTGTGGTTTTTAGTTTTTTTGAGTGGTTAACTAAAGAGTTTCATAGGAACTTGTCTGCCTGGGCTGGCTTGGAACCTCAATCCTCAGGTCTCAGCCTCATGAGTAGCTAGGATTATAGGCGTGAGACACCAGCTTAAGCTTCATTTTTTTACCAGTAAATTTAAAAGTGTGTGGTATGTGTGTAGTGCTCATATCACAGCTTGAACTTGAAGTTTTTGCATTCATGACTAATGTGTACCACTTGAGCCGTGCTTCCTGTTTAGCATAAAATGCATTTTTAAATGTATTTTTTAAAAAGTTCCAAGTTCTAGCTGGGAACCAGTGGCTCATGACTGTAATCTTATCTACTCAAGAGGCTGAGATCTAGAGGATCATGGTTCAAGGCCAGTCCAGGCAGAAACATTCTCTAGATTCTACCTCCACTTAACTAGAAAAAGCAGGGGAAAAGATATGGCTCATATGCCAGTCTAGCAAGACAAGGTTCTAAGTTCAAACTCCAATACAGGAAAAAAAAAAGTCCAAGTACTATAAAAATTGAGTAAAGATTTAATTAGCAAATGAGAGAAGGAAAGCAGAATCTACAAAACACAAGATCATTTCCTAAAAGCATCCCTAAAGACTACAGAGAAAGCTATGACAACCACACCACGCCACAGGTGGCATGTCAACACCAGGTCAGTCACAGAGGATGCGCTCCCCTTTTACAAGAAGACAAGGGTAAAGGACTACCCCCATGACAACATGAATGACAGCCTATGCTAACTTGTTCTAGCTTTCATTTAAACTGACCCAAAAGGCACAAGCCTTGCTTATTTTCCACCCAGTTTTCCATTCTATGCCATTAAGTCCTCTGGCCAAGTAGATCTGAAAACAGCCAACATGATTCTTTTTTTTTTTTTGAGGGGGGGAGGTCAGTTGTAGGGCTTGACCTAATGGCCCAGGTGCTGTCCCTGAGCTTTTCTGTTCAAGGCTAGTGCTCTACCACTTGGAGCCACATCTCCACTTCCAATTTTCTGGAGGTTGTTAATTCGTGATAAGTCTTTATGGACTTCCCTGCTCAGACTGACTTTGAACTGCAATCCTCAGATCTCAGACTCCTGAGTAGCTAGGATTACAGGTGTGAGCCACCAGCCCCTAGTCACACTTGGTTCTTAAAAATCTCTAATGCACAGAGGCATATTAATGTTTTGGAAAAGGCATGCAGAAAAGAGACTGATTCATCATTAACAGTCTAAATGCCAAATTTATTTATGCAGGAAACCTGCTTTCTCCATGAGACCCTAGCACTTCCAATGTCATTTGACCACTGCATGTCGTGGGAATTTAATCCCTAGTCTGTTGCTCTACACCCTAAGGTGTCACAAAGGACACCTAGACCCTAAGAGATGCAGCAGATATTTGGAGTCTAGAAGCAATGACATTTTCTATGCCACTGAAAAAACAGAATGCTGGATCCCTTAGTTCCTGGTGAATAGTCACTTACTAGGTGTTACATTTGCTAAGCAATGGGAAATCCATATTTAAATAGCTCCCACTTATTATACCGGAAAGCAGGTTTTATATGAATATCTGCTGTTACAATGTTTGTTTCATTAGAGAAAGGAACTGTGAGGAGAAGGAGGTGTGACTAAATCCCAGCCCTTAACCATTGAGTATTCCTGTCTCCTTAGAAAAAGGAGAAGAAACTGGTGGAAAGAATGAACAGGTGGCAAGAAGAGACCTGTTTAACCAGTCTCCATTCTTACTTGACAAGACCCAACTGTGAGGAAGGAATCAGGCCTGACCTGACCATTACCCACCTGGTACTCTGGCTGCAGTTGCATTGAGTAGGTTTCTCTCCCATTCTAAGCACATCCCCTCACAGCACGTCTCCAACTGCTGCCTGGTTATGTGGGTGCCTCCCCTGCTAGCCCAAAAACTACAATCATATAAAGTCAGAGGGATGCACATCCCGTCCACTCCATATGCCTCACCATAGCTGCAATTCAATCAGTAAGGAAGAAATTCATGTGGAAATCAATCAGACCAAAGACAAAAATCTCTGACTCTTCTAAAAAAACCAATCTTCCTAGTTATTATTTGAAGTGAGCCTCTACTGGACACAGCAAGGGATGCTTTCCTGTTATTTACATCATAGTGGTAAAGCAGAGAAGTTCTGAGTGTAGAAGGCCATGGGTTCAAATCACAGCTCTGTCTTTCATTAGTTGGATAACCTGAAACAACTAACTTTAGCCTCTCCAAAGGTGCAAAAAGTATATGTCTACACCCCAGCACTTGGGTAGAGGGTCAAAGTAAGGTAATGTACAAATAAGGACTCAACAGTAGACTGTTCTACAAATGAAGATAAATGTTCTACAAAAAAGAAACTAGAAATAATATAAAGTCCCAAAGTGTAAAAAGGAAGAATCAAGTATCACACTACATCCTCCTACAAGAAGGAAAGGAACCCCCAGGAAAAGGGTCTAAAGTGCTTCCCCAAGGAAAAAAAATACACTGAACGATGAAGCCTACTCATTAACCTATTTGAATGCAGTGGCAATTAATTCATTAAATTTCTCTACATTCAAAAACACAAAATCAAAAAATGCAATGGTTACTTCTTAGATCCTCTTGTTCCAACTTGTAGCCTGCCAGCAAAAGCCAGACCTGGAGTATTTCTATTAATAATTCCTGGCCCTGCAGGTAAACAACAGCCATAACAAGTTAAGGCTTAGCTTCCCTAAACCATGTCTTAGATTCCAGACTTGGGGGAGATAAATACTTAAATTAAAATACATTTGTGATTTGGTTACAACTTTAATCAACTCCAGTAGCCAAAAACAATCTTCATATTAAAAGTGCAAATCATAAGTCCACTTCTGCCGTGTAGAGCTTGCATGTGCTAGGCAAGACGTCATCCCATTGAGCTGCATCCCTGGCCCTGATCATGACTCCTTTCAGACAGTGCTGATTTTATTATATTGGATATAAATCTGTATTGAAATCATATGGCAAATTCCAGTCACAATGGGTTTGTTCTAATGAGTAATACCCATGCCAAATAATAGCAAGTGTCATATTTCAGACTAAGTTATTTAGAAGTAGGTACGAGCTATACTATTTCTACCTTAATAAAAATTTACTTTGGGGCTAGGAGTGTAGCCCAGAGGTAGAATATCTTTCTAGCACTCAATCATTGACCCTAGGTTCAATTCCCAAACAGTAAAAATAAATAAATAAAATTTTAAAATTACTAAAAACATGTTAAAAACACAAATGACCAAAACAGGATTTGTTCTCTTTACACTCCCATCTCCAAAAAAACTAAATAAATGAAGTGCCATTCTATGAGCTGAAAGACTTAAGGAGAACATAATTTAAGAAAACTTAGTGTTTATTAAGGCTAAAGAAAACAGAACAATGATATCAATAATTTTTACTATTAATAACTACAGACCAGCAATGAGCACATTTTGTTGCAGAGCAAAAATTCCCCCACTTTTTCCCATTTCAATGTCTCTGCTATCTGTCTGTGCCCACAGACAGGAGAGAAATAGAAGTCACCTATCAATACTTACGGAAGACAATCATACATATCCTGGAGTTAGAAATTCTTACAAGATTCTCAAGATGGATGTTACTGAATAGATACTTGAAATTCTGTAGCAAATTCAACTGAGCCAATGAAATACTGGAAATATTCTCTTATAACATCTGCTTGTGGCATTTTTAAATACTCCAGAAAAAAAAAAAAAGCAGATAGATGAAGCAATATTGATTGGCAAAGCAGCACAAATTGTTGGAGCTGAATGACAAATTTGCAGGATTCAGTACAATTCTCTAATTGTGCATGTATTTGGAAGTTTCCATGATGCAGAGTTAAACAGTGTTCTCGCAATTAGGCATGGCACCTGCTAAAAACCCAGCTGCTTGGGAGGCATTAGTAGGGGAATTAAATAGGTAAGAGGACCATGGTCTGAGGCAGCCTGGCCAAAAAAAAAAAAAAAGCAAGAACTTATCTGTAAAATAACAAAAGCCAAATGAGCTGGTGGAATAGCTCAATAGTACAATACTTGGCCCAGAGCTCAATCACCCGTACCACATACACATACAAAAAAAAAAAAAAAAAAAACTCTCTATCCACATTCAATTTTGGTTTGCCATAATCTCAACCTAGAAATACCACAAAATACTTTCACTCATACTAGTAAGTCACTATATGTGCCCTAAAAATTTGTCCACAATAGGTCCAATTCTTCAGCCCCTAGAAATTCAAACAAACTGGAAGCCCAAGTCCAACGGCCATACTAGCAGTTACTACCACCAGCTAGCATTTCCCCAGGAACACCAGAACCTGGAAAAACCTGACAAATGCCTTGTTCACATCCTCTGCTCATTGCCCTTCAAGAAAGTTGACACAATTAAGCCCAAATGACCTGAAACTTTTTAAACTCCCCCATAAACTGTGGTAAATAAAGTCATAAGATCAGCCACCACATCAAAGATAATAAGCTATGGGATGGGGGCGTAGCTCAAGTGCAAGAAAGCCTGTCTAGCCAGCACAAAACCTACTGTAGCCCCTGCAAAAAAAAAAAAAAACCACAGTCACAACCTGAAGGAATAAGTTTAAACTTTCCATCTTTAAGTGATCTTACTTTTAATTCCAACTTTACATGATTTTATTTTTTTTAACTTTTTCAACAAAGAAAGATTCCCATTAATTTAATGGGAAAAGATTACCAGATCTTTTGAACAAAATATAAAATACCAGATGTAATTCTGTGTAAAAAAAATTACACAATCAAAACAGTGGAGGGAAAAGACACTTTTACTTCCAAACATTTCAATAAAAATAATGGTAGTACTTACCAGTACTTTATTTTCAACTTTGTCTCCTTTCAGTTCCAACTTTACTTTCTTCTTCACTGCAATTTTTATCTTTCTGCCAATCACATCCTTTATGCTTTCTGAAAGAAGGCAATAACTTCATTATATTCTTTTATTAATGAGAGAAGAAAGCATTGAAAAAGGTTTTGTTGTCTTTCTTTTCCTTTGGCAGTTTGTTGGGCATGAGGCAGACTTCTACCACTGAGCTACATTCCCAGACCATTGCCATCAAAAAGCTCATCACCTTTTTCACTGGTAGCTCATACCTGTCCTACCTATTCAAGTGGCTGAGAACTGAGGACCATGTTTGAAGCCAGCTTGGGCAGAAAAGTCAGAGACTTTTTTTTTTTTTTTTTGGTGAAAAAAACTGTACAGAGGGGTTACAATTACATGGGCAAGATAATGAGTACATTTCTTATCAAGCATTGTAGCTTCCTCCTTTGTTTCCCCTTCCCATCCCTTCCAAGCCTCCCCCCCCACCCCCCTTCCACCCTCTCCTCCCCCCCACCCCCCAGTCAGAGACTCTTATCTCCAACTAAACAGCAAAAAGTCAGAAGGGGAGCCTTGCCTCAAGTGTAGAATACCAGCCTTGAGAAAAAAAACTAAGTGACAGTGTCCAAGACCTGAGTTAAGCCCCAGTACCCAGCTCCCCTCCCACATACACACAAGTAGTTCATCAACAACTATGTTGGGCCTTTTCCTGTGCAGCACATATAAAAAATTATGACATGATGCTAGCTCATGCAAAGCATGAGATAATCCTGCTGGGAAAACAGGCTACACCACACACACACACACACACACACACACACACACACACATTGAGCTATGCAGGGCAGTATGGTAGAGCACTATATTGGATAACAAGCACTATACTGCATGCAGACCATAAGCACACTAGGAATTCCTAGGGGCATTCAGTCTTAAGTTGAGTACGTCTGACTCCTACCTAGCAGCCTCTGGATTGACCAGTGACATATATCACAAGTGACTTGCCATGAAGTTTAGGAAACATGGAAAGAACCACACAACTAGACCAAACGACTTACCAAGAAAAGAGCATACCATCTGTTTTAAAATCACCAGGGCACAATATCCCAAAAGGTGCTTTTAAAAAAAAGCAAGGGAAACGGAAGGAGGAGAGGAAAGACTTTAAAATTCAAAGGAAGAAGGTACAAAAGTCTTCCTGAAACTCCTGTGAGTATCTGAACCTGAAATATGTCCCACATCAAACTTATCATCTCCACCACTAAAGAAGCTAATATTGCTCATCTCCAGATAATTCTCTCAAGGCACTGTGTCAGACATTATTTTTTTTACTCTATCTGCAAAACAGCTCCTCATCTTCTGGGCCTAACTGCATTCAAGGCCTTAGATTTTGTCATAGAAATTAACAATGGTCTCTAATCTATTGGCTCACTGCTGCTTTCATAACCACAGTGACCATTCTAAATCCACAAGCTCCATCATATCACTCTTCGTCTGAGTCATGGTCATTTTTGGCTCAGCCCAAACCTCATAGTATGTCATTGAGGTCTTTCACATTTTTCTACTTATCTTCTCAGTACATTCCAATAAATCCAACCATCCCAGCCATTTCTACCTTTTATACCCCTCAGATTAGGAGCATATTATTCTCCTTGCTGGGCTGTCTCTCCCTTATTCTCCTGCTGGTTATATTCTACTCATCTTTCCATACATAGCTACCTCTTCTAAGTTTTCATAGCTTTGTATTCTGTTGTGTAATCATTCTGGCTTATCCACATATTTAACAAATATATGTACATACCTCAACTACGTGCTAGACAAAGATGGTCCCTGTTTTTCTAAGGAGACCCTGAGTTCAAACCCTAATACCATCACCATCACAAAAAAAAGGGAGGGAGAGAGGGAAAGAAATGAAAGAAAAGAAATTTATGCACAGCACACATGATCACAGATTACAAAGTAACTAGAAGAGGTTTCAGCGAGGAAAGGCCCATTTAGCTATAGACATAGTAAATAGCCCACTGACTTTCAAAGTGGACTATACTATACAATCTATTGAGACAACAAGAGAAAACTTTTACTTTTATTTGCAAAGTGTTATTGTTTTAAATTATACACACTAAAGAAAGTAGGTTGAGTAGCTCTATAACTATGTACATTAAAAAGTGACCAAAAGTACTTCAAAAATTTAGTACCATTATTTTGATTGGTAATTAAAGAGTAAAGAAAGGCAATTGTCATCACAGAGCAGGGCAGGGAAGTTTGCAGAAGTACAGCCTGTTCAAGGAGCCCAATGATGTAGAATGAGGGACAGTGGGAAATGTGGGGGAGGTCATGGTCCTCCAAGTTCTCTGGGCAGCTCCTATCTCCCCAGGCTACTCCCTCCTTAAGAAAGAATTATGGGAAATGGGCATGTGAAATGCACATAAGAATATTTGCATATAGAAAAAGACTTGGAAGCCATATACTCAGAATTTAAAAATAGCTATCTCTGAGTAGTGATATGAGTGACATATATTCTCCTCTGTATTAAAAAAAAATTGAACTGAACTCCTGTGTTAATTTCATAGTTAGAAAGATACTTTGTTTAAATGCCCTGGAAGTTTAGTTGAAGGCAATTGACTGAGGTCTTTCCATGGTCACCATATTAAATTGATCAGAGCAGAACTCTTGCAAGAGCCTGAAATTCTTATTTAGATGATGGTATTTCTTCATCCCAGCCTATGGTCTGGTTACACCACTTCAAGGCCTAGACAAATCATAGCAGAAATATCATAAAACCATGTCACTTGGCTGAAAGATACATAAAACAGATGGGTGATAAATACAAAGATTCCATTTCAGGATAGAGGTCAAATTCATCTTTTCAAATATGCTCAAGTATTTATTTTGACAAAGATTAATATAAACCAGATATCTTATTTCTACCCTATCCTTCACCCTTTCCCATGAGTCAAAGTAATCCCTTAAACTCCTCACATCTGGACTCAAGAACAACCATTTACACAAATTAAAAATTGCTACTCTTGGAGACGTCTTCAGAACCTCCAGAATTAGCTTCCTCTTCTCAGTGGGGTGTTAGAAACACCCAGAACCGACTGGCTACTCACTCCAGCAAAGATTGATGCTTTATCTCAGGAACTGATTGCACAGTGCTGAGGAGGAGGGCCAGGAATAAGGGGGTTAGGGGTGTACAATTGGCTCTATCTTCATACTCTAGACCTCCCTAAAGGCACAAGCTGTTTCGTTTCTTGTTCGTTTCAACAAAAAGCAGAGTGTTCCATACAGAAGTAGCAGCAACAGCTTCTTCCTATCAAGTTCCACCTGCTGAGTTTGCAGTGACTCAAGGAAAGGGAAGGCACACACAAATTCTTCTCCAGTATTCTTGCTACAAGGAGCAAACAGAAGGACCAAATCCACAGACAGAGATGAACTGGACTCTGGGAACTTCCGCCAGTTGTCAGTCGGGCTTAAACATCCTCCTTTCCACCCAGATTTATAACAGTGCCAAGGATGGAAGGATGGCACAGTCGGGAATATAGGTCACTGGGGCTCCAAGCACACCCGCACAGACAAGCTCACCTTGTTACAACACCACCTCTACACACAAGCTTAAACGCTAGGTTTTTTAGAACACTCCCCCAACCTATTTTAGGCCTACCATTGAACCCTCCAGATAACTAACTCAAACTTTCAATCCAGGTTCCCTCAACCTCCCCCTGCAAAAAGAAAAAGCTTCAAGGGCTTCGAACAATGAGTCACCTTGCATAGGGTACCTTCCCCCCCCCCCCTCACACACACCGTTTCCTTAATTGAGGGGGGAGGGGGGGAAGAGAAGGATCGGTGGGTTAATCATTACTAAAATAAGGTTTTTTTTATAATTAACCCTAAAATTTCCTGGCCGGAGTTTGCGTCAGTCTTGTAACCCTCTCGCTCCCAGCTGGCTACACCAAACCACGCCTTGGCAGGCCAAGGGTTCTGCCAGTTAATGCCTCCTCCCTCAAGTCTGGTAGAGGAGCACGGACTGGAGGCGACCTACAGTGTCGTTAGCCAGCTGTCCTTGGGTTAGGCTTTCCCAGACTTTCCAGAGTTTCGGAACCGTGGGCGAGGGTTCTCTCTCGCCTCCAGAACTCGCAACACTGAGGCAGCCCGCCCCCTCCTTCCACCAAACGGGACCACAGGATGCGGACAGGACCAAGAGATCAACCCTCTGCTCCCGGGCTCCCGATCCCCTTCCCCAGCCCTCCATTCCGGACTTGGCTCTGCAGGCGGTCAGAGGGGAGCAAACTTCCAGCTCCCCCCACCCCGCTCCGCCCCCGGCCCTCAGCGACTCTGCCCCACGCCGCCCGGACCTAAGGTCCCCAGGCCAGGCGGGACCCGCGGGAGGGGCAGCTGGGAAGGGAGGTGGCGGAGGAAGCGACCCAGGAAGACGACCCACCCGCCGCCGCCGCGCCAGCCTTACCTATCAACTCCCGGGGAATGTCGGAGCTCTCCTCGGTCATGGTTGCCCCCTAGGTGCGGGGAGAATTACAGGTCCAACTCTGATTTACGGCCCTTCGCCCTTTTCGGAGCCCCCAGTATCTGTTTTCTGGGGGAGGGAGGTGTGGGGAGAGGGAGAGCCTTAGAAAAACAAAAAGAGGGGCAGCTCCGGGGCGGGCTGGCGGCTGCGGCTGCGGCTGCGGCGGCTACATGACGCCGCTCCGCCGCGGCCGGCGGCGGAACGCAGAGCGGGCAGGTTCCGCGCGGGGCGCGGGGCGCGCGACGCGGGGCGCGGGGCGGCTGCGGACCGGGACTCCCGGAGCTCCCCTCCCCGCTCGCTGCTCCTCCGCACAGCTCCCGCAGGCGCCCGCGGCAGCCCAGCCTCGCGTCGCACCTACGGCCCTAGGTGAAAGCGGAAGGCGTGGGGAGGGGGCGGGGAGAGCGGGGCGGGGCAAGAGGGGGCGGGGCAAGAGGGGCGGGGCAAGAGGGGCGGGGCAAGAGGGTCGAGAAGAGAGGAGTGAAACAGGGGCTGGGCGGGGAGAGCGGGGCGGGGCAAGAGGGGGCGGGGCGAGAGGGGCGGAGAGAGAGGAGTGGAACAGGGGCTAGGCGGGGAGAGCGGGGCGGGGCAAGAGGGGGCGGGGCGAGAGGGGCGGGGAGAGAGAAGTGGAACGGGCTGGGCGGGAGAGAGGGGCGGAGCAAGAGGGGCGGGGCAAGAGGGGTGGGGAGGGAAGAACAGGGCGGGGCAAGCGGATTTGGGCGGGGCGAGGGGTGGGGCGAGGGGCGGGGCAAGGGTGGGGAGAGAGGCGGGGCTGGAGAGCGGGGCGGAGCGAGGTGGTGCGGGCGGAATGTGGCGCTGGCGCTGGCTCTGGAGCCGGGAGCGAGCTCTCTGGCTGCCCCCCTCCACCTGCTCCTCCTCCTGCTTCTGCTCCTCTGCCCCTCCACCCTCGTCTCCTCCTCTTTCTTTCCTCCTCCTCCTGCTCCCTCCTCCTGTTCCTCCTCCTCTTCTTCTCCGGCTCCTTCTCCTCTCCACCTCCTTTTCCTCTTCCTTCTCTTCTCCCCCCCCCCCCTCCTCCTCCTGCGTTTCCTCTCCGCCTCGCGAGAGCCGGCCTCCGCACACCTCCCGGATCGCCCTCCCTGGCTTGGGCTCTCGGTGCCCAGCGCGGGGCGGGGACCGGCGATGCTCGGGGCTGCAGTGGCGGTGGTGGCGGGCACAGCGGCCCTCCCCTCCCCTCCTCGCGTCGGGAGAGGGCGGGCGAGCGAGCGAGCGAGAGGCAGGAGGGAGGGAGCGAGGAGAGCGAGCCCGGGAGCCCTCTGCTGGCTGCCGGGGAGGACAGCCGAGAGGGCCGGGGCTTCCCGATTCCCGGCCCCCAGCTTGGGGTAGGCCACGGGACCCCGCGGGCTGGAGGCTGCCCTCGCCACGCACCTGCTGACCCGGAAGCTGGTTCCCCTGGGATCTCTGACTCACGTTTTATCTGCCCTTCCTTCAGTCATTCTGTCACTTCATCACTGCTATTCATTTGCCATTTCTGCTGAGCAAGAGCCAGACGCCACCCGCAGAAGGAACCAGATGGTGGGAAGACGCTGGCGGTGCGCTGCGGGTGTCCCGCAGCCGCCGTCTGCGAACCCAGACATTCGAATGGAGAGGGCGCCCGGGATGAGCCTTTCACCCACACTCGGGTTCCTCAAGGCGGATCGTCCTCGGGGGCCACACTGTTAACCTGCTGCTTAATCTGCTCACTTCAAGCCCAACTCCCCCCAACTTTCCCGAGTTCCATCCCCAGGCGGCCAACTTGAGGGCCAACAGTATTAGTGTGTGCTTCCTTCGCCACTCACAGGCAATGGGAAGGCCTGGGACTGTGGAATCAAGAGCCGTATTTTACGGATTTAAATCGGGGAAAACCAAATAGAAAAGGAATCTCAGGTATTTGGTAATCTACTTATTAAACATTCCTGAGGACCCAGCTTTCTGTAAGAATAATCTTCAAGGGCTGGGAAGGTGGATCGTTGGTAGAGTGCTTGCCTAGCATGCATGAAGCCCTGGGTTTGATTCCTCAGTACCACATACCCAGAAAAAGCTAGAAGTGGCGCTGTGGCTCAAGTGTCAGAGTGCTAGCTGAGAACAAAAGAAGCTTAGAAACAGTGCCCAGGCCCTGAGTTCAAGCCCCACAACCACCAGCAGCAACAAAACAAGAAAGAAAGAAAAGAAAGAAAGAGGGAAGGAAAGAAAGAGAAAAAAGAAAACCCAACCCTCTATTGCCTTTTGGGCATTTGCAAGCCAGTTCCTCTCCTTCTAACCTACGCCACCCCACCTCACCCCACGTCTTCTCAGCCCCTACTCCTGCAGTTACAGCTAGACTACAATCTCCTCTACAACCTTTCCAAGAATCTCTCATTCTGAAGACTATCTCTTTCTTATCTATCTTCAGGCCTATGCTGTGTGTACTTTCTTTGAGAAAACTTTCCAAGGGTGTTCGGGTCACTGGGATCCCTAGGCCTAAAACAGTTTGTTTTGTTGCTTGTATATTTGCTATTTAACTCTTGAAATATTTGCAGACATCTTTCATTTTTGTTGTTATTGATTTTGCTTTTTAGTGGGATTTGAAGTTGGTCTCTTGCCTTAGGCAAATATTCTACTACTTGAGCCACCACCCCAATCTTTTAATCTTTAGTGTATTTTGATGGTTCTCTTCAGCAGTACTGGGGGTTGAACTCAGGGCCTCCTGCTTGCTGAGTGTTCTGCCCCTGAGCCACACTGTCAGCCCTTTAGGGGTTGATTATTTTGGAGATAGTATCTTGCTTCCTGCCTAGGTGGGCTCCTGAATTATGATCGCTCTATTTGAAGCTTCCTGTGACATTTCTGGGATAGGCACTGGCCTCAGTGCCCAGCTTTCCTCACTACAGTGGAGTATTTAGGATTTTTTTTTTTGTATGGGATGGCCTTGAACAGTGATTGTTCCAATCTCAGCCACCCAAGTAGCTAGGATTACAAGCACAAGCCACCAGTGTTGGCCTATGGGTTTTTTGTTTGTTTGTTTGTTTTTTACTTTTGTTGTTGTTGTTCACTGGCCAGCACCAAGATCCTCCGACTAAGGTATCTATCACATAACTGGGATCACAGGAAGCGGCCACCAAGCCAAGAATAACATAGAGTCTCAATAACTTTTTGTTTGCTCTGGCTTTCCTGGAACTGCAATCCTCCCTTATCTTGGCCTCATCAATAGTTTAGATTACAGGTTTGAGCCTCTGCTCCAGTTCCTTGGGGTTTTTTTCTTGTTTTGTTTTTGCCCAATGAGACAGGGAGTGAATTAAAGACTGGAAGTGTGTGCGTGTGTGAGCGTGTATGCGTGTGTGCGCATGCACATACACGTGCATGCGCACATGCATGTATTTAAGGCATTGGGGATGAAGCCCAAGGTATTGCTTATTCAGGAAAAACACTTCACCGCTAAGCCATCTCAGCCTCAACAACCTCTGGTCAAGTGGGTGCCCAATAAACATTCAGTAACTCATTTTGAATTTGTACTCATGTCTCCAACCATTTCTTTCAATATGTGGCAATTTCTTTAAGCTATATATTTCCTAAATGTATTAATATATTTGCTAGTAATAAACATAAATTAACACCTCAAAACTGCCTTTCAAGCTTGTGTATTTAGGAGGACTCTTCTGCAACATACCAATGAAGTCTCAGAAATAGCCCTGAAGGTTCCAAACCATGTGGTAACTTGTGAAAATAAAGACAAAGATGTTTTTCTTTGCCTGGAGAGGAGGAGAGGATAAAGACAAGGCTGTCTGGTGATCCTGTAACTCCGGACTCTTTCCTCCTTTTAAAGAAAGCTGCAGTTGTTTCCACCCTAGAGATGACCCACTTTCAGGCTATTGAAAGTGTATTCTTTTGAATCAACTTTAGTATCACTTTCACTAAGAGACGGAGAAAGGGAAAGAGAGAGATTGGGAAGGAGGGAGGAAGGAAAAGGGGAAAGAGAAAGGAAGGAAAGAAGGAAGAAAGGAAGGAAGAAAGGAAGGAAGGAAAGAACATTTAGTTTCAATTTTTTAAATATATCATTATCACAGCAAATTCCTGAATCACTTGGAATCTCTGAAGGAATGGATCCAAATGAATGTTCTATTACCACCCTTATAATTGACTGACTGACTGAAAATTATAGCCAGTCCTTTTTTTTTTGAAACAAAGCTCAAATGTGTTGTAGACGAGAAGTGGAGAACTTGAAGGAGCACTGTCTATGAAGCTGTAAAACCCAGCCAGTAGTAAGCATCCCAGAACAGGGCAACACGTTTTCTGGTGTCTGCCTAGAAAATGTAGCTTGCAATGTGTACTGAAATCTGCCCACCTCTGCTAAGGCTGCAGAAAAAGAACTTCTTCAGACTATCTGCCCTCCAACCTGAATGCTTTTAAGCTCATCCATGCTTATCTGGTTGTAATTAAAAGACTGTCCAAAAGTCTACGTGAAACAGATTGTCATTACATATGTGATTAGCTATAGTAGTTATAAGTGGCTGTGTTTGAGCCTAATAACTAGGATTGCTAATCTGAGACACGATAATTTCCAAAGATAATGCACTTTTAAAATGTAAACACAGGGGCTGGGAAGGTGGCTCAGTGGTAGAGCGCTTGCCTTGCATGCATGAGGCCCTGGGTTCAATTCCTCAGCACCACATAAGCAGAAAAAGTTGGAAGTGGTGCTTTCAGTGTGGCTCAAGTGGTAGAGTGCTAGCCTTGAGCTGAAGAGCTGAGGGACAGTACCCAGGCCCAGAGTTCAGGCCCCACAACCAACAAAAAGAGAGAGAGAGAGAGAGAGAGAGAGAGAGAGAGAGAGAGAGAGAGAAAGAATATAGGCAAAAGCAGGGGCCATGGAGTCTATTAGCATTATCCCCACCCCCAGACCTCACCCAGACCTAAGCTCCTCCCTGCCCTAGGGTTCCCACAATATAGCTGGCTATTCCCTCTCTCCGACCCAGACCTACCTGCGCATGCCACTACCTCCAGAGCTACCCACTTGGATCCGGGCAAATGCCATATTGCTCCCTCTCCTGGAAGAGATATTGCCCCACTAATAAACTTTATAATAATCTTTCTCCTGTTCCTGCCTGCCTCCACATGGCCCCCTGAA